CCCTCCACATTCACTGGGGTTAGGGGCACAGGACACCTGTGAAAGTAGGAAAACTGCAAATAAAAAAACCCACTTTTTTTTAACCCAAAAGAAGACATCTTTGGGAATCTCTATGTCCTCCAGCACGACTCTGTGGTCAACATTGGCCAAAGATTGACTATAGAATCATGTTGGAGGACCTACAGATGCCTAGAGAAGTGTCTTCTCTAGTAGTCTCTAGGGCCTCCAGCACAACTCCACGGTCAACATCTACCAAAGGTTGACCATAAATCATGCTGAAGGACCTAGAAATGCCTAGGGAAGTGTTTTCTCTAATAGTCTCTAGGTCTTCCAGCACAACTCTTATGATCAATGTCCAGCAGAGTTGCATTGGAGGACTTAGAGATTCCTAGAGAGAATATTAATCAAATAATCAAATCTGCAAAAGTCAATGCTGCAAATGTGGAAGGACTGTATTTCAAGCTCTGGAGTTGAAAAGCATAATAAATCAACCCCACTCTGAGATTTAGAAACAGGTTGAATGGGATTCTGCGAATGTTGAACAGGACTGTGGAGTCAGTTTGCCAAAAGTTTAACTCTGCCTCCACCTGCTCTGTTTTTTCCATGGCCCGACTCCAATTCCTGGATAAATGGCAAATGTATATTAATTAGTAAGGACAAGTTTGCTGTAGTACAATGGCAGCATTTGAGTTTGGGTCATGTTCCGCAGGATGCTTTCCATCTTGAGTTGTGCCAAATTGGCCAAATTGGCATTGGCCTTGAGCAAGTCATGCTCTTCCAGCGACAGCGGCTGACAAAAAGGCAAATCCCATTGGAACAAATCTTGCCAAGAAAACTCCATGATAGATTCGCCTTAGGGTCCCCATAGTTTAAAAACGACTTGAAGGCATACAGCAACAACAACAAAACCAAGAGTTGATGAAATGCCGACTGATTCCCGTATCATGATATTTCATGCTGGGTACTTTCTACTTTCTCTGACTGAAACAATCTTTGTGTCCAAAATCCTTGCAAAAGAAGCAATGTTATCAATTGAAGTTTGGTGATGTGTGCTCCTCTCTCTCTCTTCCCACTTCGTATGCAGCTTTGAAACTCAGCGAAATGGCCTTGTATTTATATATGATATGGCAGGCTCCCACTATACCAACTTTGAGCTCGATCTCAGCAAGAAGATCCTCAACTTACTGAAGGTAAAAAGAAGAAACTCTTTAGCAAAGTGGTTCCCAAACTTTGGTCCTCCAGATGTTTGGACTTCAGCTCCCAGAATCCCTAACTGCTGGCCAAGCTGGCTAGGGCTTCTGGGAGTAGAAGTCCAAAAGACCTGGAGTACAAAAATTTGGGAATCACTGCCAATATTATTCCCAAATGCAGAGTTTGGAAATTACCTGCTAAAAATGAATTTCTCCCTTCTCATTCATTAAATATTCCAACCAAACCAATACTGTCTTCATTCTTAAATGCTAGCACCGTTATTATTGAATCAGCAGTTCGTGTTACCTAAATCCATTAATTGACCGTTTCTCTTAAATGATAAATATTTCCTTTAAGAGGATTTAACAGATAAAAAGTGAACCAGTCTATGAATTCATTTTATTAATATTTCCTTAGTGATTTCACATTAAGGAATGTTTTGTTAATGATTCAGCATTCATGAAGTGGAACTCTTAAAATTTCCAAGCTCTTCCCACTTGAATTCCTTGAGACTCCATCCAATATTGCTCTGCTCATCGATGCTGTTTAGGTTTTAAACTCTTCTCTTCTTCTAATGGTAGGGTGTGACTACCAGCCAGGAACTGAGAAACTGTCAGAAGTCAGTCCGAAATGGAGATGAGGAGGCATTGGGTTGGTCTTTGCTCTTTGACTTAGACTTTGTCTGCTTTGGCCAAAAGTCCTGTTTGTCCTCCATTCTGGCACTGTCCTATTTAGACGACACACAGCCCAAACCCCAGTTCTGGTGTGGGCAGTCTGGACAACATCCAGCGCATTCAGCACCAGAACCTAATACGAATTTTTAAAACATTATCTCTTACTCCGCATCTTCCAGGAAGACCCGGAGTCTTCCTTTTCTGCTCCAGGACAGCTGTCTGCATGGGCATCCATCTGGTGCTATCGCCAGCCACTCAGACTGAGGTCAGAAGAAGGTGCCCAGACATATACATCGCCAGTCACACACTCTCAGCTTCTAAGGAGGACAGAGGCAAACCCAGTGTGAACAAATTTGGCAAAGAAAACTCCACAATACATTTGCCTTAGGGTTGCCATAAGTCAGAAATGACTTGAAGGCACCCAAGAAGAGCCTCAGTTAAGTCATTTTGCCTTCTAGGAAAATTCAGGCTTGACAGAAAGCACTCAAGAACAGCATCCATTTAGTTATTTCGTCTTCTAGGAGAGACTTGATTTCCTCTAGGATCCATTTATTGGTCACTTTGGCAGTCTGTGGTCTCTGTAGATCTCTCGCCTGGCATCACATTTCAAAAGAATTGATTTTCCTCCTGTCCCTTTCTTCACTGCCCAGATTTCAAAGCCAATCTGTTTACTGTTGTTCAGTGACATCCAGTTGAGTTATGGCAACCCTATGAATGAGAGAATCCCCATGCATAAAAAGAAATATTGCAAGGAAAACACCCATGGGGAAACGGCAGCCTCATGGGAATCGAAAGGACCGGTGGTTTCCATCCACTTATTTGTGGTAACAGTTCAAGTGGTCTTTCTTGACTTGGTCATATGGCACAGAAGATCTTTCTGTTCTTTTGGGATATCATTGAGATCATCTTCCAGAAATGTCCCTGGATGCTTTCCCTGCTTAAGGGTATCAGAGAAGTGATGTGCATATATATATATATATATATATATATATATATATATATAATTTATAAGCTTTCAGAACTCATTTCATAATTCTCTTGCATATATAAAATTCTATATTCATTAAGTCATTTCAGCGTTGCATACCATAAAGTTCCAGGATTAACAATTTCTCATTTTCCTTCCCCTGTTCTCCTGACATTAAGACCCTTGTACTCTATCCAATTCTACACCTTCTGTCATTTTAATCCTTTAGCTTCAACTCAAATTCAAGTTTCAGATTTCATATTCTTACTTTAATAATTTTACACTTTCTAGTATTCGCTTTGTTACTGCCATCTCTCTCTCTCTCTCTCTCTCTCTTTTTTTTTTGCAAAATTCTGTAACAGGGTACCATTCTTCCTCTATTATTTCTATATCTTTTTGATGCAACTAAGAGGTTAGTCTGCCCATCTCTTTCATATCAAATAGTTTCATAAGCCAATCGTCTACCATTGGTAAATCTTTTTTCTTCCATACTTGGGCTGTGTTGCTTTTGGATGGAAAAAGAAACTGAATTGGAATAAGTTTTATTTCTTTAAATATATAAAAGAATATATATTATTTGATTTTCTTAGGGAAATAAGACTTAAATATATTGGAGAAAGCAATAAAGACTCATGGAGTGATAAATGGGAAATTGTGATTAAGAAAGTGGAAGGTAAAATGGGGTGTAAAGAAGTAAAAAAAATATAATTAATGGTATTTTCCACATCTCCGAAAATGATTGTTAAATTTTGCTAATCAAATGATTGTTAATTTAAATGGAATGTATTTTTTCCAAATGCTGTTTGTGGGAGGAGGGAGAGGGGAGAAAGCATTTTTATGAGTTATAGATTGAATAATTTGTACTATGTACTGCATTAATAAAAAAATTAAACTTACATTTTTAAAAAATATATGAGTAATTTTTTAAAAAAAATTATTTTTGCTGCTGAGATCACGGACGACAGAATTCTCCGCCATTTCTGTGATGTGTTTCTTTTAACTCATTTAGGCCAGCAGTATTAATTGGCTCTTTGGAGGCAGCTTAATGAATGAATCATAGAGTCAAAATGTGGACTTTCAGCCCCAAGGGGTCATCTTCTTGACCGTGACGGTGGAGATTTGGCACCGATTGTCGTAAACAGCCTGTTTCCGCTCCGCAGTTCAGTCGAGGTGTTTGGAACCAATTCCCAGAAAAAGCCCAAAGCAACTATTTCCTGTATTTTAAATGACCTTAAAGAAAAAAAGAGGAGGGGGGATTAGGGTACTAAAAATATATTTGTGAGATGAAAAACAAGTGTATCAATTGATCTGGAGTGTTTGAAGGCCACTTTTTGAGATTGAAGCCTGTAGACTAAATCCAAAGGTTTTAAGCCTACCTTAGACTCATTAAAATAATAATAATAATAATAATAATAATAAATAATAATAATAATAATAATAATAATAATAATAATAATAATAATAATAATAATAATAATTATTATTATTATTATTATTATTATTATTATTATTATTTTATACCCTGCTCCTTTGAGATCAGTCGGGGCGGCTTACAGTAAAAAGTGCAGTGCAACAATAAAAACGAATTACCTCCCACCCACCCCTTAAAAAGATATTAAATCAATTACAAGACTTTATTTGTGAAAGATTGCAGTTTTGTTTTTGTTTTATTACGTGCTAGGATAACAAAGAGAAGTACAAATGTTAAACATGAAGGCAATGGAATAAAAGATATAATGTAATAATGTAAAATATGTAAGAAACAACTCAGGAGCAGTGGGATTTATTTTTTGAAGGATAACTTTATTAATGCAAATTTGTAACTCTTGTTTTATTATTGCTTGTATGTAAAAAAATAAAGGGAGAGGGGGAAAAAAAAAGAAACAGACTTATTTGTTTCTGCAGAGGCTTGAAATATCATTTTTGCTGCCTTTTCCTAGGCTTCAGTTCCCCCTTTTGGCCACAAGAAGGGAAAGCAAAAGGATTGCAAAATGAGCTGCGGTGATCTTTTGTGTTGTTGTTGTTGTGTGCCTTCAAAACTTTTCCGGCTTATGGCAAACCTATCTTGGGTTTTTCTTGGCAAGATTTGTTCAGAGGAGGTTTTACATTGCCTTCCCCTGAGAAGGCTGAGAGAGTGTGACTTGCCCATGGTCACCCAGTGGGTTTCGTGGCTGAGCTGGGAATCGAACCCTGGTCTCCAGAGTCCTAGTCCAACACTCAAACCACTATGCCATGCTGGGTGACCATTTCCTTGCCTATAACTGAAATAAAACCTTCTTCTGGTTGTTCTCACCAATTCCTTGTCTCTTTCTAAGGTATCCAGAGCTTGGGAAAGTTATTGTTTTTGGACACACACACAGTGTTGAGAGTCTGGTTTGGGAATCCTATGCTTGGCTGATGGATTCTGGGGGCTGTTGCCCAAAAAGGGGGAAAAAGAAACTTTTCGGAATAGCTTGTCCGGTTGGACTGGTTGCCTCCATATTAATGGGGCGATGAACTCTAAAAGAGCAGTCTGAGGTGTACAAAGTGTTTGGGGAAGATGGCTTTGCACCTTGGATAGGTCCTTTAAAGTTCAGGCTAAAATCCAGAACGGATTTACCATCCCGCTTTATATAGCGAGCCACCAGTTGCCACTGTATGGTTATCCTTTGTACCAGTCAGTGCCTTAGGAGAGCCAGCATAATAATAATAATAATAATAATAATAATAATAATAATAATAATAATAATAATAATAATAATAATAATAATAATAATAATTTCTATCCCGCCCCTCTGCAACGCAATCGGCATCATGGTTTGAGTGTTGGACTGCAACTTTGGGGACCAGGGTTCAAATTGTGACTCAGCCATGGAAACGCAGTGCATGACCTTGGGCAAGTCACACTCTCTCAGCCTGAGAGGATGACAATGACAATCCCCCTCTGAAGAAACCTGCCAAGAAAACCCCATGATAAGTTCGCCTTAGGGTTTCTATAACTTAGAAAAGACCTGTAGGTTTACAACAAGAACAGCTGAAATCCCTGAGCGGTCAGCTAACCTCAGCAAGAAAAGTCATTTTTTCCTTCTATCTGTTGCTGACTGTGTGATGCATGTTTGTCACCCAATTCCTCCTTTTTCTTTGCAGGGAGCCTTCCCGGCCCGCCTCAAGAAAGTGTTCATTGTGGGTGCCCCTATGTGGTTCCGGGTTCCTTACTCCATCATCAGTCTTCTCCTTAAAGAAAAGCTCCGGGAAAGGGTGAGATCGAAGTCCGGTTTGATGGGGATTGGAATATATTTATGTACAAGCTGAGTCTCCCTTATCCAAACTGCTTGGGACCAGCAATGATTTGGATTTCAGATATATATATATTTTAAATTCAAAATATTTGCATATACATAATGAAGATCCTGGAGATTGAACCCAAGTCTAAACACGAAATTCATTTTTGTTTTGTATATACACTCATCCATCCCCATTCGCTGGGGTTAGGGGCACAGAACCCCCATGAATGTGGAAAAACCGCAAATAACAAAAACACTAGGAATCTCTAGGTCCTTCAGTGCGACTTTTGGTTAAAGTTGACCATAGAGTTGCGCTGGAGGAGGTAGATATTCCTAGAGAGAACATACTAATACAATCCATGAATAATCAAAACTACAAAAGTCTATTCTGCAAATGTGGAGGGACGAGGGTACCTTATACACATAGCCTGAAGGTCATTTTATATATAGTATTTTAAATAATTTTGTGCGTCAAATAAAGCTTGTATACTTTGAACCATGAGAAAAAGCAAAGGGTCACTATCTCAGCTACCCATGAAGAAGTTTTGGTTTTTGGAGTATTTTGGGTTTGGGGATTCTGGATAAGGGAGACTCAACCTGTATCTTATTTTCACCCTCCCCAGAGATCTCAGCATCACATAGGACAGGTGTGGGGGATGTATGGGCTGTAGACCACATGAACAACTAACCTCCCTCAATTGCTCACTCCCGATCTACAGTCTTGGCAGGAGCTTCCAAAGTCCAAAATGAATTTCCCATCCTCCTTAACCAGTCTCTATCTTCTGCCTATCTGCAGCTGTGTGCATTTCCTTTTGATGCACCCTCATTCTTTTCCACATGCCTCTTTTCTTCCTGCTTTTAGGTTCAGATGGTGAAGATGTCTGAGCTGAAAGAGCACCTCCCGCAAGAGTGTCTCCCGGAGTATCTGGGTGGGTCCCTCAAACTGGATCCCATCAGCTGGAATTGCAGTTTCCTCCCGCAGCAGAACGGCCACCCGGACCCACTGGATGAGCTGATCCTGGTACCACTGGCTTCTCCTCGTGACAATGGATCGGTCCACGTCCCGGTGCCGAAAGGAATGACGGTGCAGGAGGTGTTGGAACACGTCAAGCAAAAGCAGAAGCGAGGGATCTACGAGGAGTACGAGGGCATCCGGCGAAGGAGTCCACCAGGCACTTTCGCCTGCTCTTTGTGAGTGCAGAAATGGGGCACAAAGTCCTGGCTGCCACCTTGAGTCCCTGTACCAGGAGAAAAGCAGGATATAGATGATGATGATGATGATGATGATGATGATGATGATAGTAAATGAAGACTGGGGCATGGTTTGCTGGTTTAAACCAGGCTGGTTTTAAACCATGGTTCAAACCTTGGTTTGTTTTGTTTAAACCATGGTTAGAAACTTATTTTGTTTAAACCGTGGTTGGAACCTTGGATTGTATAAACTGTGTTCAAACCTTGGTTTGTTTAAACCATGGTTGGAAACTTGTTTTGTTTAAACTGTGGTTGGAACCTTGGTTTGTATAAACTGTGTCCAAACCTTGGTTTGTTTAAACTCCGGCTTGTGGGAGCAGCCACTGAGAAGACCCTCTCCTGTGTCCTTGTCAAATATACCTGTGATGATGATGATGATGATGATGATGATGGGGCTGGGGCTGGGGAAGAGCCTTTCTGCTTTACTGTATTGTCCCAGGTAGTCCAGAATCAAACATGTTTTGCTGGCCCCCCAAAACTGATGCAGATAAAACTCAAGATCTGGAAGTCATATCTGCCTGACTCCCCCTGGCTATTATTCTCTCTCTCTTTCTTTGTAGGGCTCCCTTTAACCAGGAGAAGAATCGATATGGAGATGTTCCATGCCTTGACCAAACCAGGGTGAAGTTGTCCAAGCAGTTTAGCTACCATGAGGTAAGCAGACCAAAGTATCTGACTCAGAAAAGCTGCCTTCAGCTGTATCCGGCAGTTGCTATAGATGCTTCTACATGGTAGAAATAATGCAGTTTGACACCACTTGAAGTTCTGTAGCTCCATCCTATGGAATCCTGGGTTTTGTAGTTTTACAAGGCCTTCTCTGCCAAAGTGTGCTGGTGCCTCACAAGACTACAGCTCCCAGGATTCTGTAGGATGGAGCCATGGCAGTTAAAGAGGAGTCAAATTGCATTATTTCTCCAGTGTAGATGCATCCTATGTCTAACCCAGGCTGGGAATCATATAAAGTTTTTGGGGGTTATTGGACTGCAGCTCCCATCATCCCTAGCCACTGTATCCAGTCGTGAAGAGTGCTGGGAATTACCATCCAACAGCCTCCAGAGGCCCATATTTGGTCAATTATGATCTAGTCCACTGCTGTCTGCAACCAAGAGGCCCTATCATTGCTTTTTAATGTTGTGTATAAATCTTGCTTGAGCAGTATGGGAGTTATTTGAGATGAATGCATCGCTTGGAGTTTTCCCAAGTTTGTACGTCTCAAGAGTTTTCCATTGTGTTTCTCCAGTTGACCGATTACATCAATGCCAGTTTCATGGATGGCTACAAGCAGAGGAATGCTTACATTGGCACCCAAGGTAAGCATGCCCTCATGGTCCCTTGGTAGTCATAGAATCATAGAGTTGGAAGAGACCCCAAGGGCAATCCAGTCCAACCCCCTGCCATGCAGCAACTCACAATCAAAGCATCCCCAATACATGGCCATCCAGCCTTTGTTTAAAGACCTCCAAAGAAGGGGACTCCACCAGTCTCCGAGGCAGGAGTGTCTTCCACTCTCAAACAGCTCTTACTGTCCGGAAGTGCCTCCTAATGTCAGCTTTGTAATGCCTTGTTGGACTATGTAGAATTGGGGAGAGCATCCCTGCCAAGGTGTTGCATCCAGCACATACCTTCTCAAGCAAAATTCACTCCTTGTTGCATCTTCGGGGCAGATTGTTAAGGAATCAGTCGCCTCTTCAAGCACCAGATGACAGATCTACTTCATTTGGCACTTGGAAGAAGGGACAACACATAGAAACCCCACAGCCAGCATGGCCACAGGAATATCTGTAGTAAACAAATCCATATCTGGAAGATTCTGGGCGTTGTAGTCCAAGAACTTTTGCAAGCATGGTTTTTGCTTCATCAGACTTCAGGTCCAGCATTGTACTAACAGTCAACTAGAGCAGTGGTTCCCAACCTTTGGTCCTCCACTTGTTTTGGATGTCGACTCCCAGGAGCCAGGAATTATGGGAGCTAAAGTCCAAATCGTCTGGAGGACCAGTGTTTGGAAACCACCAAGATCCATCAAACTTTTCCCCAGTATATGTTGGAGCTGGCCCTTTTCTGATGCTTGACCCCTAGCATCTGGTTATCCAGAGATATACAGACTTTGAAATTGGAGGTTCCACTGAACATTGTCTTGACTATTGGGTGCAGGTCTTCTCTCTGTGGTCTGGACCATCTGTTTTTCAGAAGTCTTCTAAATCCATAGCCATCGCCATAGTTCTGTTAGTAGTAACTTTGTCTCCAGAAGGCCCCAGTTCAGTCCCATAGCACCTCCAGCTAAGAATGGGGAAGACACTAGCTTGACACCCTAGAGCAGTGGTTCCCAAATTTGTTCTTCCAGGTGCTTTGAACTTCATCTCCCAGAAGTCCTAGCCAGCTTGGCCAACAGTCAGGAATTTTGGGAGATGGAGTCCAAAACATCTGAAGGACCAAAGTTTGGGAACCACTGCCCTGGAGAGTCCTTGTTATATAAACTCAAAGGTGGGAACATTGTATTTAATCATTTATTTCATTTGTACAGCCCCTTTTTACCTTCTTCCTCTACTGGAAGTTCTCACCCCTGGTGCTGTTTGATGTCAAAAATACCAATTTTTGAAAAAACCCAAAAGTGGATTTCTGGATTTACTCTTAGTGTTTTTGAACTGGAGAATTTGTTTTGGACAATTTCACAGCAAGATGTTAGCTCCAAATCTGCTAAAGATGCCCAACTGCCCAGCATAGACAAC